GGGGGGATGAGCTGACAAGGTTTTAACCACTCAAGTCAGATTGCTCATTTTGAACTTAGTTATCTCTTCAATGTACTCTGGTAACCGGCTTCTTCCCATTCCTCAATCATGGATAGAGGGAAATCACCGGAGGCTTATTTAGATCCCACAAATGTGTCTTGTACTCCCACAGTCATCCCTAGCCTTCTGCAAACCAATTCCTCACAATTTAGGCTCTGATACTATTCCTTCCTTTGGCTTCGGATTATATGATTTACAATCCTTATGTCACTGGTGTTGGTGTGCTTCTTCATGTGGATTTAGTTGCCACTCACTGAGATGGCTGCTTGTTTTATCTGCTAGCCAGGGCACCATCTAATTTCTACACCTCACTTTGCTATAGCATCCATATCTACTGTGTTCCCTTCCTGAGGGTGAGTATCAAGCAGGGCCATGATGTAAGAATTAATTTTTCTTATATTGGAGATAGGATTTAGTGTCAGCCCAAAACCCCTTCTTGGATCTATGTTTATTTATCTGATTTTGGCTCCCTTTTAAAACCTCTTTGTTTTGGTAATTTATGGTAGAGAGTCTTAAAGATCATCCCATTGGGCATAAAGATCTTCAATTAACATTGTCTTTGATTATCCCCTGATATTAATTTTTTAAAGCCCTCTTGAGAGGGGGATATTGGGTCAAAGGAGTCTAACTCCATATCATAGTACCTGAATTATTCACTTGGACAGAATCAATTCTTTTGTGGCTGGATGCTATTTACAAACAATGGGCATTAATTTTTAGGGGTAAATTTACAAGAGAGGTCACTGAGAATGTCAGTCACAGTTTTGCCAGAATTATATATATATATATATATGCATATGTAATTATATATACATATATATAGTTATATATGTAAATATTATTTTGTTGGTAGCTCTTACAGATATCATAACATTCCATAATTCAATCAATCAACACGTCAACAGTATTATACAATTGATACCACAATATTTCAAAACATTTTTTTTCTTCTTTAACTCTTTGATATTCCATGTGTGTACATACCATAGTTTTTGTTTGTTTGTTTGTTCTAATCCAATCTTCTACTGATGGGAGTTTAGGTTGTGTCCAACTTCTTGTTATTGTGAACTGTGCTGTAATGATGGGGGGGTGTTATATATCTGTTTCTTATTTGGGGGGGACATATTCCCAGTAATGGTATGGCTGGGTCATGTGGTGTTTCTATTGCCAGTTGTTTTAGAAATCACCGTATTACTTTCCACAGTGGCTGTACATATTTACAAGCCCCCAAGCAGTGAATAAGAGTTCCAGTCTCTCCACACCTTCTCCAGCATTTGTTGCTCTCAGTTTTTAATTGGGCTACAGTTAGGGGTGTTAGATGGTATTTCATGGTTTTTTGACTTGCATTTCCAAGATTTCTAGGGAACAAGACTATTTTCTCACTGTGAATCACCTGTTCAGGTCCTTTACCAACCTTCTCAATGGGGTATTAGGTTGTTTGTTTTTTGTAGGGTTGTAGTATACTGTAGATTTTAATAATTAGTCCTTTGTCCATTATGTTATTGGTAAATATATTTTCCTAATCCGTGGACTCTTGTTTTATTCTTTTAATGAATTCTTTGGATGTACACAAGTGTTTTGTTTTTAATAGGTCCCACTCATATATTTTGTCTTCCATGATGTGTGCTTCCTTTGTTTTTTATCTGGTAGCCCATGTATTCCCTTCACTAGCGCACTTAGATTTGTCCTGTGATGCTTGTACAACAGGACTAATGTAATAGGTTTCAATAATGTATGCACGTAAAACAGTGCAGTATTGGCAAATGCATTATATTAATTTTACAGCAGTAAAAATAATATAAATGACTAAATAATGTGTATTTATTCATCACCTAGTTTAAGAAACAAAACTTTGCAGTTCTCTGTGTGCTTCTTCTCATCGGTTGTACTTTCCTGCTGCATTCTCAGGGACTGTCTGGTGGTGGTGGTCATAGTGGTGGTGGTGGTGGTGGTCATGGTGGTGATGGTGGTGGTGGTGGTGGTCATGGTGGTGGTAGTCGTGGTGGTGGTGGCGGTGGTGGTTGGGTGCCATTGAGTCAGTTCTGACTCATAGTGACCCCAACAGACCAAAATACTGCCCAGTCCTGTGCCTGCTTCACAATTGTTCTTATGTTTGAGCCCATCGATGGGGCCACTGTGTCAATCCATATTACATTGCTATGTCCTAAAGTTTGTAGTTGTCATTGCCTAACTAGTTATATATAATTTAAGGTTCAAGTGTCTTCAATAACTAAATGAAACATTGTTCAGTTTTAATGCTTCAAACCTTGATATAAAGGGAGTTATGTATAATATATGAGTTTATGATTATTTTCTTTATCATTGACACTGTGATGGTCACCCACATTACTGAATGTAGGTATAGTTTGTTCTTTTTTATGGCTGTTTGGCATGTTTCCCGATGACTAGTATTCCTTTTCAACATCCCATTATCTCCAAATGATTTATCAAATGCCTTAGGGAATGAACGGGAAAATGACAGGGATTCCTATTCCCATAAGGAGTGACATTCTGGGAAATTCACCTCCCTGGCCGATCCGGTCGCCAGGCGTCAGCAGGGACTTGATGGCAATGAGGGTTAAGTGTAGGGAATGTAATTCTTGGGTCGCACAGATGTTAATTTTAACAGTGTCAGAAATGCCAAGTCATTTTTCTAAAAGAGGTTACACCCACCCCATCGTGCATGAGTCAGACTTTAAGCTCTTTTTTCAGTTTTGTGCGTGCATAGTGTTATTTACTTTTCCAAGATTATTAATGAAGGTGAGCATTTTTCTTTTCTATTAATTATTCATGTTGTGCATTACAAAAATATGTCTGTTCCTGCCTACTGCCATTTTTATATTTTTATATTTGTTTTTTAATTGAATTTTAAGACTATGTGTTCTGGATACAAAATACTATAATGTTATATTTGTGCCAAAATCTCCCAGGTTCTTGCTTGAATTTCCACTTTCTTTCTGGACTATTTGAACAATGTATACAACTTCAACAAATTGAAGTTGATCGTTAAAATAAATTTCAAGTTTTATGTCTTGTTTAGGAATTCTTAGTCCAAATTTACTTCTAGAAGGTTTATATATTTGTTTCTTAATCTGCCTGATATGCCTTTTTTATGGTGAACAGAGAAGATATGTTTGTTAAATTGATCACTTCTGATATTCCTGTTACAACAGTACCAGGTAGCTAAGATAATATATATTTTATCAAATGGGACTCAAAATGGATCATTGGTGTAAATGTAAGATGTGGAACTCTTCAACTTCTAGGATATAATATAAGGAGGAAATCTAGGCCATCTTAGGTTTCATGGTGGATATTTGTATAGAGAGAATCAAAAGACAAGCCAAATACTGGAGAAAATATTTGAAAAGCACATATCCACTAGAGTGCTTTTACTCAAACTTTGCAGCTCTTAAAACTCCACACTATGAAAACAAATAGGACAATCATAAAATAAACCATTTTGAACAGACATTTTATCAAAGGACATGTAAAGACTGTAAATAGTACATGAAAAGATGCTTTAACACCTTGTGGTATGAGGGAATTGCATATTAAAACCACAAGATACCACTGTGCCCCATTTAGAATTGCTACAGTACAAAAGTCTGGCAATACCAAGTGATGCTGAACCGCAAAGATTGGCAGGAATGTAAATTTCATGTCTGGAATGAGTGTGTAGTACAGTAACAACGAAAGACAGTCTGGTGCTTTCTTACACAATTAAACCTAGGTTTACCATACAAAACAATACCACTCCCAGATATTCACCTAAGTGGATTTAATACTATGGCCACATAAAAACCTGTATGCTTATGTGATAACAGCTTTATTTATAATTGCCCCAAATTGAGAAGTAACCAAGATGTCCTTTAGATGAGGGGATAAGCAAAGGATGCAACAATACAATAGTGTTGTTTAGCAATAAAAAGACTTGAGCCATTAAATTATGAAAAGTAGTAGAGGAACCCAAATTAGTTGCTAAGTGAAAGAAATCTTCAAAGGGCTAAAGATGGAAAAAAACATATCTATGAAAAAAAAGGGTGGGGGGACCGTTACAATGGATCAGGGGTGAGAAAAGGGATGAAAGGGTGGAGACGAGCATATTTTTTTTTTAACATTTTATTAGGGGCTCATACAACTGTTATCCCAATCCATACACACATCAATTGTGTAAAGTGCATTTGTACATCGTTTCTCAAAACATTTTCTCTCCATTTAAACCCCCGACATTAGGTCCTCATTTTTCCCCTCCCTCCCCGCTCCCCCCTCCCTCATCAGCCCTTGATAGTTTATAAATGGGTATTTTGTCATTTCTTGCCCTGTCCGACGTCTCCCTTCATCCACTTTTCGGTTGTCTGTCCCCCAGGGAGGAGGTCACACACAGTTCCATGTAATCGGTTCCCTCTTTCCTACCCCTTCTCCCTTTACCCTCCCTGTTTTGCCACTCACACCACTGGTCCTATAGGGCTCATCCATCCCGGATTCCCTGTATTTTCAGTTCCTATCTGTACCAGTGTTCTTCCTCTGGTCTAGCCAGACTTGCAAGATCGAGCATATTTTAAGGCATTGGGACTACTCTGAGTGATACTGCAATGAAGGACACATGATGGTACATAGGTATGAAAACCCATCGGACTGCTCATCACAACAAGTGGACCGTAATATAAACGATGAACTTGACCCAAACCAAACCTAGTGTCACCGAGTTGGTTCCAACTTCTAGTGACCCTGTAGGCAGAAGAGAACTGCTCCTTGGGTTTCTGAAGCTGTAAGTCCCTGTGGAAGGCGACTGGCTCATCTTGTTCGCCAGGGAGAGGTCAGAGCGTTCAAATGGCTGATCTTTCAATTCCCATTTCAATGCATAGCCAACTGTGTCCCCAGGATGCCTAGGAACTTCAGTGACCTACACAGACACTTCTCTTTTCAAAGAAACATACCTTGTTTACGTGAGCTCGGAGTTGGTGACACTCAATCAAGTGAGGAAGTTTGTTGGCAATGTCCATCCAAGGTTTATAATGATCTGGAAGTTCTTTCTGCATTAAAAGTAGAAATGCCACAATGCTTTACATTTCTTTGGAAATCTATTTCAGGAAGTAGCTGCTTTTAGATTTCAGCTTTTAGACAGAATTCCAGTCCATTCAGTTCTAAAAACATGATTGATAAATCTTTCCATGACAGGTTCGGTTTGGCAGATTACACAGATTTACTAAAATATAGTCTTTGTCCTTGAGCACATTTATTGATAGGGAGATACATTCAGTCAGATATATCTCAATTTAGTATAGTATGCTTAATTACTGGTGCCTGTAAAACATAAAGGATTTGTAAAGAGGAGGAAGTCGTTAATTCTGTCAGCTCTTATGAGGAAATAAAGGAACATATTATTAGGAAGAGAATAGTTGAGTTGAGTTTTGAGTTTTAGGGTCTGAAAATGACTTTCAGAGTTCAGAGTGCTCACTATTACTCCAGTCTCGGAAAATCCCTTTCTTGGTGGCAAATTGAAAGAGGAAAGGCAATAAAGGCAAGACCAATGAACAGATAAGCAAAGATAAGTATAATTCTTAGGACTACAAATCTTTCCATGTGCTAGAATATAAAGAGCAGTAGAAAGTGTGATAGACAATGATGCTAAAAGGTTAGCATTCCGATCAAAAGAGTGAATGAAAAAGAGCTTTCCTTTCATGTAAGTTGGTGGCATGACTTCATTCTAACATTAGGAAGATAATTTTGACTACAGAATTTTAGGATATTGAGTGATATTAGGAAGCCTTTGAAAAAGTATTCATGGCCAAAATTTGAGCAGTGATAGTGAACATACAGAAGAGTTAGAGTGTGTTCAACAGCTTTTTGGAAAATAAAATTCAAGTGATGGCATGATTAACTTTTGTGGAGAGGAGTTCAGGTAAGATGATTTATAGCCTTAATAGCTCCATTTATGTGCCCACTATAGATTGATGTGCCCTCCTCTCCCTGTTTAGCCAAGTAGAAAAAAGGCTGTATTATAGAAAATCCAGCTTTTTTTTTTCCAGTAAACTAAAGCTGCTTTTGTAAATCAAGTTATAGTGTTACTCAGCCACATTTTTTCTTTTCTTTTTTTAATAGTCTTATTGGCATATAATTCATATATCATATAATTTAATGTTCACTCATAGTAAGAAGAGTTACACAATCATCACCACAATCGATATCAGAACATTTCTTCTTGTACTCATGTTTGTTAGCTCCTCAGATCCCCAACAACCTCCTTGTCACTCATCCAGGTAAGTATTGGTCCAGTTACTGCCTCTATATATCTACCTGTCCTGAATGTCATATACAGACAATAACACAAAACCAAAATTATGACCAAAAAAAACATGAACAGAAAAGAAAGCAGAAATTACTGCCTACTGAAATAACTTTAAAATGGGTCAAAGGAGACATACAATGATGATATTACATTTTACCCTAACTGCATCTGCCACATTGACTTTTGCAATGCTCTGCCAGATAGCAAGGCCACTCACATCCCTGCACTGTGGTCAGAGGGGATTCACCAGAAGTGTAATCCAGGTGGGAAACCTGCAAATGGATTTTGGGCTTTCACTGTCATCCACAGCCTTCTCCCAATCAGGTATTCAGAATTTAAGCTCTAATATTGTTCTCTCCCTTGGACTTTGATCTATAATCCTTGGATCCCACAGGATTACTAACTCCCATTTTTGGTGTAAATAATGCCCAGTCGCTTAAATGTTTATTCTGTACAAGTCAACGATTTATGTATTATGGTCTGAAAATCTGGCCTATACATGTATAATTTCATTTCCTCAACAGTGTTCTAAATTCTATACCATTGGCTAAATTAATGATAATATCATTTGTATGTTATTCCCTGAGTACAGTGATTCTCAACCGGTGGGTCATGATCCCTTTGGATGTTGAATGACCCTTTCACAGAGGTTGGCTTAAGACCATCTGAAAACACATAAATATTCCACAACATATAATTACGTATTGTTTTGTGATTAATCACTGTGCTTTAATTATGTTTATAGTATGTACTCGTGTATAAGCCAACCCAAATATCAGCTGAGGCACCTAATTTTACCACAAAAACTGCATTAAAAAATGTGCTGAAAAATTCGGCTAATACTTGAGTATATACCGTAATTATGTTCAATTTGTAACAATGAAAATACATCCTGCATATCAGATATTTACATTATGATTCATAACAGTAGCAAACTGACAGTTATGAAGTAGCAATAAAAATAATTTTAGGGTTGGGGGTTCACCACAACATGAGGAACTGTATGAAAGGGTCAAGGCATTATTAGGAAGGTGGAGAACCACTGTCCTGGTAGATGATTTATAATGTTCTCTTAAAAATGATGATAGTGCTACGGGGGCCAACATTGGGGCCACGGTGTAGGACTTGTGCCCGATCTGACCCCACCACACCGGGGTGAAGCACTAAGAGCGTGCAACAGTCAACAAAGGGAGCAAAGCAAAGAAGTTCCTGAGGAATCCCCAAAATAAACTTAGGGGATAGGGTGTGGCACCCCATCAGACTAGACCAGAAAACACACATAAAGGTCAACAACCAAACCTGGAACTATTTATAGGCTTTTCTTTTTTTGTTGCTGTTTTCAGTTTTGTTGTTGTTTTGTTTTGCTTTATTTTGTTTTTGTGCTTATTGTTGTATTTGCATGTCTAGTTAGATAAGATAGGTGGATAAACAATCCAGAGAAGAAAACACTGGGACCAACAGTTCTAGGGCAACACAGG